AAAAATAACAATAATAATAATATTGTAATTTTAATAATTTTAGATCGAATAATAAGAAAAAAAGAAAAGTTGTTGAAGAGAAAGAAGAGATTTTAGATTTGGATTTTGATAATAAAGATTGGATAGATTAGCTAGTATTTGATTTGGATAATATAGAATGGAGGAAAGTAGTAAAAGTAGAAGTTTTTAAGAGTTATAAGAATTATTTTTGGGTATAATAAAGATTATTAAGGTTTGTTTATTTTAAGAAGATAATGTGTAATAGTTCTAGAATTCATTACTAGATTTATTTGTCACTAAAGAGAAAAGTTCAATAAAATATATAATTCTAATACTAATAAATAAGTGTTTAACAGAATTTGAATTCAATAGCCTCCAAAGATACTATAAGGATCTAGCAATAGGTCAAAATTGGAGTTGGTACCTATTGTTCTTTTTGTATGAGCTGGATATAACAAGAATTGTTTGCCCTATACAAGGATTACTAGCCACTAAAACTTAGAAATATCTTAAGATATAGCCAGAAGAAGTAGTACTAATTATCAGGCTATCAACAGCTATATATGGTTTTAAATTCCAATAATATAAAGCTAATACTTTATATTATTTATAAGAAAGAGAAATAACAAATCTATAAAATATAAAATAAAATAATCTGAGAATAAGAAATGTGAAATAATTGGAATAATGCTCTATATCAGACAAATAATATCAACATGGAAGGCCATGAAAATTCTTTCAACCGATCTAATAACTTGGACTATCAGCTTCAACGGTTACTTCAGACCATGGCAAATACATTGGCGCAATCGAAAGATCCTCAAAAAGCATTGGATGAAATAGATTTCGTCAGAATTCTAACATTTAATGAAGGAAATCAAGACCCCGTCGAATAGATAAAGTTGACTAGGCAAGCCTTTGATGCAAACAATATCCAAGGAACAAGATGGCTTGTAGTTGGAAGTAGCCATCTATCCGGTCCAGCTGCGATGTGGTGGAAAAGTCAAAAGGCTAGGATACAATACTGAGATAATGAAATGATAAAAAGTCAAAGCTTTGTGCATCAATTTCAGCAAACATTTTGCACACCGGCATTAGTTAATAAGTGGAAAACGGAATTGCTAAATCGCCATCAACACTTTGGAGAGACAGTAACACAATATGCTGTTGATATGGTGTCCTTATTTGAATGTGTGGCTATTGCAAGGCAGTATTCAGAAAAAACAAAGATTCAAATGTTTGTACAAGGTCTTTGTCCTGAATTAGCATTGGCAATTGGATCCTTTATGCTCAACACACTTTTTGAAGCTGTTAAACAAGCTCGAATGTGTGAAATGATGATTGCACGAGGATCTGCCTTGGCTTATCAAACTGAAGTAAATACTGTGGCTTCCGTACAAACATCTTGGATGACATATTCTGTATCTCCTACAACAAGAAGCCCAGTAGCACAAGTCAGTGTTAAAAGTATGATCTTAAGACACTCATTAATTATCAAAAGCTAGCAATGATAGATTGCACTATTGGAACCAATGATCTTGGTTATAGTTATCGAGATGGAGTAGAAATTGAAGTAGACTTGGAATTTGTTGAAGAAAATGACTATAAGGAAGGTTGTAAAACCAGCAATACAAGGCAAGGTTGGATAAAAACAATAATAAAGTGAACGGTCTAGAATTTTGCTACGAAGAGGCTTATTCAGCAAAGAGACGATGACAAGATAGTGACAGTATTGATAAACTTGAGGCCCCACCTCGAAAGAAGCTGAAGATTGAGGATTTTCTTAAGGTTAATATATAAAGAAGACTGTGTAAAAGGTTGAAGTCCGTTCTGAAAAAGAATTCAAACAATTCGGAAGGACAATGCCAAATTGAGTCTTGTCGTGAAAATAGGTCAGAAGTTAAAAATGATGATTGTAAAGCATTTGAACAACCTTCAGACTCTGATAAGAATAATAAGGTGAAACCGGTCAAGAACCAAAACTTGGATGAATGTTTGGCTCTAGAGGATTGTGCACCAAATAAAATCGATAATAAAGGGTCTGAAGAAAATGTTGACAAGATAAATGATCTTGGATGTTGTTATGATAATGGAATTGGAATAAAGAAGAACAATTGTAAAGCAGTTGAGGAAAGTATAAAACGTGTCGAAGGTGAAAAATGGTTAGAAAATAAGTTTGAAGATGATGATGACAAATTGGTAAAAGAGTCGAAAAGTGTGATGCAACAAATTAAAGAATATGTGAATCAAAGTGTAGAGGATAGTAATCAAAACAATATCATTGGTACAGATACAAAGATTGAAAAGGTAACCGAAGTTGATAAAAGTAAAGAGACAAACAAAGAAGTTAATGAAAGTAATAATAAAATGAATCGAACAAATAATGGAAAAAAAGACTCACCTTCATTTAGCGACAGGCTAGATTCAAAGCTTGAATATATAAATACGATGCCTAATGAACCATCTAGTATGAAGGCACTTGAAGAATTATTTGCCAATTTAAATAAATCAGTAGAAATGAGACCGAATAATGCAAATGGATATGCATTATATACGAATCATTTCAGTAATGGCAACCTAAATAAGCAATATAGTGTTGGATAGCATATAAATAAGGAACACGATTGGGTTGACTACATTGTAAAGCAAAGACATAGAAATGAAAAGGTGATGCATCTTTTGAATGATACTAAGAATTCAACCATTGGATTAAACATGAGTGAAACTCTTGAAGCTGCATATACAATGTGGAAGTAGAAAATCGAATCATTTAAAGCCCAGATTAGTATAAGCGATCATAAAAATCAAAAGGATAATATAACATCATCTAATGTGTTGAATCAGGGTACAAAGGTTAATCAAAAATATAATTTGGGTGAAAATAATCTTCAGAAAATATGTAGTATCTGGATGGATAAAGTTGCATGCGTCGTAAGTCCACTTGGTTTACAGAAACATACTGATAAGCGAGTTTGTAATACAAAAACAGGAAAATGTAAAGATATTGGTAATAGCCCACCTTCTAGCAATAAGGGCCCGTAGATATTATATGTAGCAGGATACTGATGGATAATCAAGAGGTTAAATTATACAGATAGTATAGTGCAAGAGCTGTAGATAGTAAATTTGTTAGATGTTTTGATCTGAGAGAACATGGTAATCGAAATATAAAAGGTCTTGATAGAATGAATGATAAGCTAAGGAAAGATGAACAAGAAATATTAGCTAGTAATAATGGCAATCACAATAAAAGAATCAAATGGCTTCAGAGATATATTAAAGACAAACCTGAAAAGAAAACGCTATTTAGGATTAGGATAATAAAAATCGCTGTGATAATAATATCAACATATAATCTTACTGACTTGATTTTCGATCCTGATGGAAACCTGAGAATTGAGTTGAACTGGATTAGTATAATGAAAAACAGAAATAAATTCTATCAGTACACACATAGACCCCAGTTTACCAAGATGACTAACTGATATGTTTCAACTTTCTCAGACTGGATTAGATTCATATTCGATCCTGGAGGAAGCCTGAAAATTGAATTTAATTAGATTAGCATAGTGAAGCGCTGAAAAAAAAAAAAAATCTTTATTAGTAATGCTAATAACATTAATTCAAATTAACAATGCAAATGAAATTAGAACACTTATACAATTAAAGCTTACAGATTATAGACAGTCAGCTGCAATCAGGATCATGTGATTAAATAGGATGCTTAACAATGAAAAAAAAAAAAAAAAAAACAATCACACATGAATTAGAATTTGAGGTATAGAAATTAGAGAATGAATAACATACAAATGGAATGAAACATTAGAAGCAAAAAAATTTTTACTTAACTAAACATTAACGAACGTAGTGAATTAGGGACGGCTACGACGAGTAGGTGCGGAGAAAGGTGCACCTACAACTGATATATTCTAGAAAACTGCAGAATATAACATCAAGCATAGTAATTATCGATTGGAATATATATCTACACAACACTTTATGCCTAGAAAGTTGAAGTTGTTAAGTGAAATGGATAATTAGAGATGAATTGCGACTACAAAAGGGCAAAGTTCACACAATCTGGATTTGGAGTAACGATGTCAAAACGGTGTTTCAAGCGATATGAAGTAACCGATGCTGACGATTTAACAAAAAGCATGTCAAATATATTGAAGAATCGGTCTTGACGATTTTGATCGAATAAGAAGCACATGACGAAATCGAAAGTTTTAAGAATATAAGGATTCGAGCAGAGCTTATCCTTTAAGAGAAGGAATATGTGATGCAACCAAGTTTCAGAATTAAACTTTGGCTTGTGGAACATGTGAGATATGTAGTGTAACTCTATAATAGTCTATGCGAAGTTTATAGTAAAGATTATACTTTAATTAGACTTTTATATAGTTATACGATATACTTGTAAATAGTAAATAGTCAATTTGTAGTTTAATTATATGTATAAGTATAGACATATAGAATGTTAGTATTGAGAGTTAGTTTTAAGAAGTACTTGTTTTTAGTAGATTTTTATCTTTGGATTTAGTTGTGTGTTGTGCTTTTAGAAGTTTGAAACTTGCTAAATAGCTAAGAAATAAGGGTATTAGTACTATTAGTGTGTCTGGGACACAACGTTAGGATATTTGTTTGTAACTCTTTTAGTGCCTTTTGTGATAATAAATTAGTTGGTTCATTTCTTATTAATGCTTACAGTCCTCTGCTAAATTGGCTACGAAGATCTAAAGTCTCTTCTGTGACTGTAACAATATTCGTAGAGTTATTAAAAAAAACTAAAGCTAACTAATGAAAAGATAAAATTTTAAGAGAAGATAAGGCTATACAAACTTAATAAATCGGTTCTCATAACATAAAATTTTTAAAAGTGACCTGGCAACCCAGCTTTTTTATTTTATTTTCAAAAAATTTTATATATAAAAAACATAAAATTTTTTATAGATTTTTTTAATAAACTCACCCGGATAGTAAGTATACTTGAAATTTTTTTTTAGAGTTTTGTAAATTTTGACCCGGCCGGGTTATGAGAACCGATTTATTAAGTTTGTATGGCCTAAAGGGAATAAGAAAGAACAAAGAAAGAAGAAGAGAGAAGAGGCAAAATACGACTAAAAATAACTATTTTAACAAATGTTTAATAGAAATAAAATAGGTTTCCACTATGGATTTTTGTTTTGTTAGTGTTTTTGCTTTGTTTTTCACTAAAAATTTTTGCTTTCTGCCAGAAGGCACCAAAATGTTGCAAGGTTGTAGTCTTCTTAGTAAATACAACCAAGTAACAAGGTCACCCAGTGCAGTGATTGACTTTTGCAAATATATACGGGGTGGATGTGTAGTTGTTCACTTAACTACACAGCAGGAGACAAATGGTTCGAGATAGTAACAGTATATAGAATAACTTTATTTTATGCAAGAACACAGGATAAACCTTGCCTGTAGGAATTACTCTAGAGGTTGAATATCACATTTACAAGAAGAGTATAGAGAAAACAGAGTCTAGATAAAGTATAGAAACTTATAGAATTGACAGAGAGGGGAAAAGGCACCCTTTATATATCTTTTCTGTCCAAAAAAAAGGTACACAGTGTGTAAGGTGATATTGGGGATGAGTAACATTAGTGGGGGAAGTTGGAGAATTGTGTTGGAGAAAGTTGGGAGATTGTACTGAGGGAAGTTGAGGAAATATAAACATTAGTCAATTTGTTTATATTTTATTTATTGTTTGTGAGGTGGAACTTGGTGAAGAGGAACTTGAGAGATTTTGTATCCAAAACAACTTGTGTCTGTATAGGGGGAACTTGGAGGATTTCATGTGGAGGAACTTGGAGAAACTTGTATTACTTTCTTGTATTACTTCTTTGTATAACCCAAAGTACTCTCTTATGTAGCCTTGTGTTACCTGAGGTCATGTGAGGTCATGTGACTGTGCCACACTTCTAATAGCCAATCAAAATGTTTCTATATTAATGCTA